GTGCCCAGCCGGACTTTGCCCTTCCCCAGTTTCCTCCACAGCCAACGGAGCCACACTCCGACAGGGCCAGGACAGGAGGAGACACTGGAGAGAAAGATTTTCCTGGCCAAAAATTCAGGGTTCCGCTTCAAACTGTGAGGAGAATCTTTAAAATGTGAATATCCGCCGAGGATCCCTCCAATTGTTGTTTTTCCGGTCTCTTGATTGGGTTGCCGAGTTTCTAAATCAATGCAAAGGAATCTTTGAACGGAGATGACATTCCACACTGGCCGCCTTCGCACGGATTTGACAGACCTTCCTCCCCACCCCCCGCAAAAAAAAATGTGCTTTTCATCAGGCAAAAGGCACCGTTTTTCCGCCGTATGGTCCAGCGTGGCTCGTGGCATTGGTGGCCGGCCTGGCCTCCTGGTGGAGGTTTGCAAAGGATGGTGATTGGAGAAACAGCTGAAGATCGTAGAGAGCGGCGGTGAACATTATCCCAAATGCTGCCTCCAACTGCAATCCTTTTATTCCCATCGATTGCTCTAAAGTGCCTTGGTTTTCTTCTCTCTGGAATTTGATTTTTAAAGGAGAATTAAACGAGCTTTTTTTTTTAAAAAAAAAAAATGTTTCTTAATCCATTTTCAAAGGCCTCCGTGGCTTAGCAATTGCTTTTGCCGGGGTTTGAGTTTGCAAATTTCCATGGTCCTCACGAAGAAGCAGTTTGGGAGAGGAAAAGGAAAAATGCTAAATTGAGGAGAGGGATCTTGTTACATTTAAGCTGTACTCCAACTCCCATCAGCCACTGTCAGTAAGACCTGGAACTGCATCGACTAAAAAAAAAAAAAGAGTGAATTTGAAGGATGCCCTTTAGTCCTGGGGTTTTTTCCATCCATCCATCCATTTTTCAGAAGATTTGTTTACTGCTTCAAACCCTTTTTAAAAAGCCCCCTCCCAATATTTTCTTTCGATTGCCGACTTGATTTGTTTCAGGAGTCTGGAAGAGGCGGCTTCCAACATTCCCAGCAAGGGTGGGGATTGTATTTTATTTCAATCTCATTTTAAATTGTGTTTGATTCCAATCCCATTTTAAATTTTTTTTTTTTTTTTTATAAATCAGATTTTAGTAACCATTTGTGTTTGGAACTCTGCCCTTTGATATGGCCCATGGGCTAATCAATAAACTAAATTAAATTAAACTAAATTAAACCATATACAGGAAAAAAACACCTGGGGGGGAGCGTTCTTTGGACCTGCCCCCCAACAATCAGAATTAAGAATGGCTGTGCTGGTCATACAGTATATGCTGTAGTTAGGAATGAGAGCTGCTGCCTTTGCTAAAATGCTATGTGATGAAGAGCATCTTTTCACTTTCATGTCCCCAAGCTTCTGGGACCGCAGTTAAACACTACAAAGGCTTCCATGCAAAGTTAGTTTATTGGATTTTATTAGGCATCTCAAAGTATAACTCACAGTTATGTTGAGATTCATCAAATGTCCAATTTGCCTCAATAGTGTGAAAAGATGGTTATCTTCATCCTATAGCGTTATAGCAAAGGAAAACTCCAGCACGATGCTGGGGTCCAGGTAAGAATGCCCAAAAACTCCTCCCAGCCCAACCAGAGTGGTCAGTGACCAATCAGGATTACAGTTGTGACCACGTGACATGAACTACATCTCCCAAGAGCCATGAACTACATTTCCCATGAAGCATTCCCTTAAGGGGGCAGCTCTCATTCCTAAACCAACTATAGACTGTCTGACCAGTACAATGACCCCAAAGGACCGTAACAAGGCTCCAAAGTGAGGAAAGATCCTGGGTCAAATATTTATTTTTTGTCCTGCAATTTTGCCCCGGGCTAAAAGTACTACAGGTAGTCCTCCACTTACAATGGTTCATTTAGCGACCATTCAAAGATACCAGAGCCCTGCCAAAAAGCGAGTTACGACCCTTTTTGATCACTCTTCCAACAAGCCAAGTCAATGGGGAAGCCAGGTTCCCTTTAACAACCTTGTTACTAACTTAACCACGATGATGATTCACTTAAGAACTGTGACTAGACAGGTTGTAAAATGGGGCACAACTCATTTAACAAACATCTAGTTTAACAACATGAAATTGGGGGCTCAGTTGTGGTTGTAACTCGAGGACTCTCTATGCAAAACTTTACAAGTGAATCCTGGCCAAAGCTTTATGGCCTTGAATTGTTCTTTAATTTTATTGACAGGAGGTTGCCTTTGTGGTTCGGGTCTGTGAGCCTCCCAGAGGCACTTCGGCTTCAATATAAAACTGGAATAAATTAGCAGAATTAAAACAGAATTGGAAGGGAGCTTGGAGGTCATCTGGTCCAACCCCGCCCCAGAAGGAGACCCAAATAAAAGGGAAGAGATTGGAACACAATGTGGGGAAACTTACTTTTCACTTTGCAATATTTCATTTCCTTCACACGTGCCTTCCATCCCGGGTTTTCTTCCCTCCCCGCGAGGGCTAAAAAGAAATCGCGTGGCCATGCTCGGCCGTCGCGGCCTCCCTGCCGGCCCCCTTCCCGGAGCTGTTGCCGGCGCCGCGGCCGGGCGAAACCCCCTTGAATCCCCCCCGCTGCATTTCCGTCCGTTTAAAAAGCCGGCGCGGGGAGGAAAGAGGTGCCGGGAGACGCTTCAACGGAAAAGGTGTGGGGGTGGGGGGGGGGGGGGGGGGGGTCAGTGTTTTCCTTCCCCTCCCGCTTCCGCTGCCCCCTCCTGCCTCGCTCTTCCGACAGGTAGGAGCAGTTCTGCTTCACTAAGCGAGACAGCCGCGCAGGTGAGCCGCTTCCTCACCTTTGCAAACTTTCTTAAAAGTGATTCTGTCAACGGGGCGTGTGGGGGGCGTGTGTTTGTGTCTACAGCTCTGCCCCTCCCCAAATAAATCTGTGTGTGTGTGTGTGTGTGTGTGTGTGTGTGTGTGTGAGAGAGAGAGAGAGAGAGAGAGAGAGAGAGAGAGAGAGAATTATAATAGATAGATAGATAGATAGATAGATAGATAGATAGATAGATAGATAGATAGATAGATAGATAGTAATGACAGAATGATAGTAATGATAGAGATGATAGGGAGAGAGAGTGATAATAGATGATAGATAGATAGATAGATAGATAGATAGATAGATAGATAGATAGATAGACAGACAGACAGACAGACAGACAGACAGACACAGACAGACACAGACAGACAGACAGACAGACAGACAGATGATAGTAATGATAGAGATAGGGAGAGAGAGAATGATAATAGATGATAGATGATAGATGATGGATGGATGGATGGATGGATGGATGGATGGATAGATAGATGATAGATAGATAATAGTAATGATAGAGATGATAGAGATGATAGAGAGAGAGAATGATAATACATGATAGATAGATGATAGTAATGATAGAATGATATATATGATAGAATGAAAGAATGATAGATAGTAATGATAGAATAATAGAGATGATAAAGAGATAGATAATGAGAGAGAATAGATAGAATAATATAGGTATATATGATAGAGATAATTGATTAGATGATAGATAAGATAGATATAGATGAGAGAGAATGATAGATGATAGATAATAATGATAGAATGATATATAGAGATTAGAGATAGTTAATGATAAAGAGATGATAGATTAGATAGATGATAGTAATGAAAGTATTCAGATGATAGATAATGATAGAATGATAATAATGATAGAATAATAGAGAGAGATTATAAAGATAGAGAGAGATAATGAATGATAGATATAGATAATAGAATGATAGATATAGATAATAGAATGATTGATGATAGATAGTAATGATGGAATGATAGATATAGATGATAGAGAGAGACATAATGATAGATAATAATAGATGATAGATTAAATAGATGGTAGTAATAATAGAATGATAGAGAGATATAGATGAGAGAGAAAGAATGATAGAATGACATAATGATAAATAGATCTATCTATCTGTAAACTTTTGCAAAATGCTCTTTTCTTTTAATTTTTGCAAAACAATCCATAAGTCCACCAAAAGGCAGCTTTTTTGAGGGGGGGAATCCCTTATAGCAGGGGTCCCCAAACTTGGCAACTTTAAGGCTTGTGGATTTCAACTCCCAGAAGGCTGAAGAATTCTGGGAGTTGAAGTCCACAAGTCTTAAAGTTGCCAAGTTTGGAGACCTCTGCCTTATATGAATGAATTACAAGGGGGAAAAAGGGTGGGTGTTTTTTTTAGTGTTTCTGTTGTTGACTTAAAAGGGTTGGAAATGTTAGTTTGCAAAATCGGGCCAGTTTCCAAAGGAAAAACAAAAGTTTTTATTGTTCTCCCTTTGGGATACGGGATTGTGTCAGAGTCACCAGATACAATCCCGAATATTTTGCAAATATTTCTTGAGAGCTGAGTTTCCACGTACACTAGTATAAATTGTTCTTTTTAAAAAACAAACAAACAATAAACTCTTCTTGAAAAGAAAAACCCAAGTGGGGGCCAGTCAGTGCCTTTAAAAATATAATGGGCCGATTATCCCTTTCCAGCATAACTAGTGGCAAGGGATTATGGGTGCTGTAGTGTGGGATATCTGGAGGGCAGTGAATTTGAAGAGGATAGAGAATAAAGACTGTTGCCATTTATGGATTTATTATAATATGAAGAAATCATACTGTACGGTTTAAAGCAGCCTTGGCAACTTTAAGACTTGTGGACTTCAACTCCCAGAATTCCTCAGCCAACTTCTGAGGAAGATAACATCTTCACAGCTAGGGAGAAATCACACAATGCACCCAAGCTTCTAGTCCTCATGGTTTGCAAAAAAAAAAGAACTTGGAATGTTATTGTAATGCCCTTTGCCTTCCTGGTTGTCCCCCCACTTGCAGACAGGGAAGGACCCAGTCTCGCTACAGCTCGTGGGGCGGGGGCCTTCCTGGATTCCCACCACCCCAAAAAACTCATCGCAGCCCCAACAGTCCTGCGAGGTAGGCCTGCCTGCGATTCAGGCTGCGCTTCGACCCGAGAGATGGAATTGCCCCAAAGGATCCAGGCGGCTGCCAGGAAAGAAAACATACCCCCGGCTTTAAGTTGCTATGGGGCCCCAAAAGGTAAGCCCTAGAGAATTGGGGTGGGGGGAGAGGGGAGGAAAGATTATTTGGAAATCTCTATATATAAAAACAAAATACCCCTCACGCATCATCACAAAATCTCCAGATCCGTCAAGCCTACAAACTTGACATTTGGCACGTATGTTCCTCTTGGCTTCTACGTCCTCACTAAGAAAGGATTTTTCGAAATGACCATCAGAGCCATTAGTATTTCCTATATTATTATTATTATTATTATTATTATTATTATTATTATTATTATTATTATTATTATTATTATTATTATTATTACGCTCTGATGCTAAGGAGTTCTACTCCTCCTCCCCACCTGAAAAGAAATCTCTTCCAAATGCAAAACACAAGCAGAGGAGAGGAGTTTCAGTTTCAGGGCACCAAGCAGCTGTAGTACAGAACGGTTGAGCTAAGCCACGCCCAGGCTCCTTGCTGTCTCCTTGCTCACACAGCAAATACTCTCTCAGTTTCCAAACAGCCCTCAACTCTCTCACACACTGACAGGACGCTAGCCAGATGAATACCGAGGGATGCTGGGAGGCAGAGGCAAAAATTTTTCCCCCCTTATTTTCCTCCCCAAAAACTAAGCCCAACCACAGAGTTTCGTAGGTATCCAGCTAGAATAATTTATACACGGCCTTCAAATGCTTTTGAATGTTTCCTGTCTTGTTCTTAGCAAGAGTCTTTTCCAATCTGCCCTTCCCATCCTCCTTTCTTTTCTTGCTGAGATGCGGCCTATGGGAGTGTGAGGTAGACTGCCTCTGAACGGGGAGGCTCTCCCGTCAGAAAGGCGGTGCCAGGATAAACGCGGTGCCTATCCTGGCTCCTCGGGAAGGATTCGAGAGGGGGATAAAAATGCCAGATCCTTGTCTATCTAGAACAGTTTATTACGGAGACCGGCTGTGATAGAGATAGTCCTCAACTTACAACAGTTCACTTCAGTGACCGAAGTTACTACAGCCCTGAGAAAAGTGACGGAGGGCCGTTTTTCGCACTTAACGACCGTTGCAGCATTTACCAGGATCATGTGATCGAAACTGAGACGTTTGTCAACTGACTCACATTTATGACGGTCCCTGGGTCCCGGGGCCACACGATCCCCTTTTTGCGACCTTCTGACAAGTAAAGTCCATGGACGAGCCAGATTCACTTAACAACCGTGTGACTAACTGAGCAACCTCAGCGATTCACTTAACAATGGTGGCGAGAAAGGTCGTAACATAAGGCAAAACTTGCTTAATGGCTGTCTCGCTGAGGAAATTTTGCACTCAATTGTGATCGCAAGTATTTAATTAAAATATTTTTTAAAATATTTTTTTATATACAATAAATCCATTCCATTTCAATCTTGTGTTGATTAGGTACATATTTCATGTGCTTACAATTCATAATAATACTCTCCTTAACAATATAACAATCACATTCCCATATTAGTAATATAAGTCCAATATATCTATTCCACCAGCTTTTCTTATTGCTTTAACAGATAACATAATCAGAGTTGGAAGGGACCTTGTAGGTCATCTAGTCCAACCCCCCGCCCAAGCAGGAGACCCTACACCATTTCTGACAGAGGGAAGTCCAGTCTCTTCTTGAAAGCCTCCAGGGATGAAGCTCCCACAACTTCTGAAGGCAACTTCTGTTCCATGGGTTGATTGTTCTCCCTGTCAGAAAGTTTCTCCTTATTTCCAGGTTGAATCTCTCCTTGTTCAGTTTCCGTCCATTATTGCTTGTCTGGCCTACAGGCGCTTTAGAAAATAGCTTGACCCCTTCCTCCTTTCTAGGGCAGCCCCTCAAATATTGGAAGACTGCTATCATATGTGAGGGGCTGCCACAGACAGGATATATGTATATATGTACATCTAATTATTATAACTACATCTAATCCATTTTAGTTTATTTTGTTTTCTAACCATTGATAAAACAAATCCCATACCATGTAATATTCAGATTTTTCTTTTTCTTTAATTACCAATGTTAATCTATTCATTTCTGCACATTCAAATATTTTTTCAATTACTTTTCCCGCTATCAGTATTTTATCACTTTCCCAGCTCTAGCAAATACAATTCTAGCAGTTGCTAAGACATGTATGATTAAGTCTGTTTTTTTCTTTACTAACCTTCAGGTACCATTCCTAATAGAAATATTGGATATTTTAGTCCAATACCTTTTAGCTTCTATGCAAGTCCACCACATATATGTTCCTGGCGTTTGCTGACACTTCCAGCCTTTGGCTGAGTTATCTTTAAACATTTTAACTCATTTTGCTGGTGCAAAATTATAGATGGTGCATCTATAAAACATCTTATACAAGTTTTCTTCATATGCTGTCGATATTGTTAATTTATAATTCCTATCCCATCGCTTCTGCCATTTGTCTAATTCTATAGCATATCCAAAAATTTTTGCCCATGTTATCATTGTTTCTTTAACTACTTGTAGACTTGATTGTTGAGGGGGTCTCGTCCTATTGGGAGAGTCTGGGGAAAGAGGAGGCGATGGGGTCCTTCTCCTTGACTCAACCCTTCTGTTTTCACCTCTCCAGAGGAAAGAAGGATCCAGAAGAACATCAACGTTCATCTGCTCCTGTCCTCTGGAAGCCATCTTGGAGAGCTCTGGACCCAGACAGGTTCCAGCATCCATAGGTCAAATCATCTTGGAGAAAATGTCGGAAGAGATTTACGAGTCCCGTCGGGAAGGAAAGAGACCAGTGGCCTGTTTCAGACCAATCTCTTTTGCCCTCCTGTAGGTCTCGCCAAAAGCTCCTTGGTCCAACAGCAAACCAACCTTGAGTTCAACCTGCAGAGCAGAAGATGGGCAGGTGGGACGTTAAAAAGGACCCCTCTGAGGGGCTTCCCAGAGAGACCCCGCAACATTCCCAGGAATTCATCCAGAATGAAAAATAGAGAAGGGGAGGACAACATGAAAGGACAACATGAGCTCTTCACTGGGTCAAGAAGAAGCTATGAGGACCTCAAGGCCAGGAGAGAGTGCTCCTCACCTGGCCAGTTTTCACCGGATCCATCTCTTCATTCCTCACCCAATGGTTGTCCTCTTCCGATGACCTTCAGTGGGATCAGTGACTCCTCACCTCCAGGACCGGCCCTTACTTTGGACAGTCTGGTTGATGGTCATTCTTCTCCCGAGGAACCTCAGACTCCCATAAGGTCTTCTCAAAACTCTGCTGATCGGTGCTGGTCCCTCCAGGGGCTTAAGAAGGAAAGGCCTTCCTTCTCTTGGGAATCCCGGTCACCTTCTTGGGTTCCTCAACCAGCACACGAGCCACAGATCTCAACCTTGGCTGTGCGAAAGGTCCGGTCTTCAGTGGAAGGCAGCTTCTCTGGACAAGTGAGAAGTAAATGGGGGACAATGCTTAGTTCCACCTTGTTGACATGTCAAGAAGATGACTCCAGTTGTCTCAGGAGCAGCTCAGGAACACCACCGTCTACAAACAAAAAGGCTACCTTGAATGAGTCGAGGGACCAGGGCTACCTGAAGACACTTGACCTAGAAGAACATCGTTCTGGAACCTTCTGTGGCTCTGAGTTGTATCTCAAGAAGCTTCTGCCGGATGTCTTCTTCCTCAAGAATTTGGAGAGTTCCCTCAAGATGTGTGTAGAGTCTTCTCCGAACAGAAGGTTGTCCGTGGAGGACACCCATGAAGAGAAGCCACCAACTCTTGATCCTTCTGGAGTCCCAGAGGTCCTGTTCAGTCACCCCTTGGAGAAGAACACTGGGGACTTTGTCGCCCAAGAAGTTGGAGATAAGCATGGAGAAGCTGGTGGAGTTCCCACCATCACCTCCACTGTTGATGAGGCCAGTCTGTTCACTGCCCTTCAGAAGGTCTGTCTCTTTGAGGAAACCATCTGGAAGGGTCCCAGAAAAAGATCCCAGCTGGTCAACATCCCTGTCTGGCCATGGCGCCATCAGAAAGACGGGGTTCCCTTCCAAGGACATTTTGTCCCGCAGGAAACTAAGAAATTGGGCGATATTTTCAAAAGATGGCGTTCCCTCTGGGAGAAAAGGCAGCAGATCTGTCTGCTGATATTTCGAATCCAGACCAGGCTGACCGGACGGTGAGTAGCTGTCCTCCCAATAAAGGTAGTCCACGACTTACAACAGTTCATTTAGTGATTGTTTGAAATCGCAACAGGATTGAAAAAAGACACTTATGAGCGATTCTAGCGAACCGGTGCAAACTGGCTGAATCCCACTCTTGATTATGGCTGTGTTTCGCACCTATGACCATTGCAGCATCCCCATGGTCAAAATTCAGATTGCTTGGCAGCTGACTCGTATTTATGGCCGCGGTGTCCCTGGGGTAACAACTTTGGCAAGAGAGGTTGTAAAATGGGGGGAAACTTGTTTGACGAATGTCTCACTTAGCAACAGAAATTTGGGGCTCTCCATTGTGGTTGTAAGTCGAGGACTACCTGATTTGATGGCGTTTCTCCTCTTTTACTAAACCTGGTTATTATCAGTTCTCATGTTCCCCTTTGACCAGCATTGCAACCCATCTCACTTCTGCTGCTGATCTTTTTTAACCATGGTTTGTTGGCCTGAGCTATTACCTGGATATTCAAGGTCAGTGATGGTGAACCTTTTTGGCACTGAGTGCCCAAAACAGAACACGCGTGCTTGCGCATGTATGCGTGCGTGCTGGAAACCCAACCGTGCTGCGGAAAACCGAAGACAAGCTGGCCGGTACACGCATGCCACTTTTTTGGATGTTTTTGGGGCCATTTGGGGGCCATTTTTCAGTCGGTTTCTTAGGCCATTTTCAGGCCAATTCCAGGCCGTTTTTCGGACCATTTTCTGGCAATTTTCAGGCCATTTTTGGCAGTTTTCAGGCTGTTTTATGACTGCTTTCAGACAGTTTTTGGGCCAAAAACTCAAAAAATGGGCTGAAAAAGCCCCCCAAATGGCCTGTTTTGGGCCAATTTTTAGGCCATTTATCAGCTGTTTTTTGGCCATTTTCAGGCTGGTTTTGGCCATTTCTCAGGCCATTTTCAGGCCAATTCCAGGCCGTTTTTCGGACTATTTTCTGGCCATTTTTCAGGCCATTTTTCAGGATGTTTTCAGGCCATTTTGCAGGACAGTTTTCAGGCCGTTTCTCAGGCCATTTTGGGGCCATTTTGTGGCCATTTTATGGACTGTTTTCAGACCATTTTTGGGCCAAAAATAGCCCAAAAATGGCCTGAAAAAGGCCCTTTGGGGCAATTTTTTGGCCATTTTCCAGTGCTCCGGCGCCCATGAAGACCAGCTGTCCAGTGCTCATGTGCACGGCAGGAACCAGAAGAGCAGCTGGCGATGGTGAGCGTGCCCACCGAGAGGGCTCTGCGTGCCACCTCTGTCACGCGTGCCAAAGGTTCGCCATCACGATTCTAGGTTAAAGCCTAACAAACTAGGATGGCTGAGCAGGGCAGAGGACCTGGTGATGTGTGAACGGTGCAGAAAGTTCTGTAATTGTTACTGTTGCTGTACTCATATTTGTCTTTTATTTGTTTTCATTGCATTGTAAGCCACTTAGAGTCGCTCTGCATATCAAAAAATGAGTGGGATATAAATTTAATAAGTAAATAATGAATAAGGATTGGCGGTTTGCTAAAACCGAGGCTTCATATGAGATGCTATCCGGACAGTGTTTCCTTCCCCCCCCCCTCCCCCCGAAGAAGACCCTTTGTCATGGCCCTGGTGGAGACTGACTCTGAGGGAGAGGAGGAAGAGCCAACAGGGAGTGGAAGTGTGGCTCCGGAGGTTGTGGAAGAGGCTGGGGAAGGGCAGAGGCCGGCTGAGCAGTCAGAGGAGGACCTAGGCCCATCCCCTCTCCTTCCTAGGGCACGCAGGGAGGAGAGGATCAGGGAAAAACATGGTCTACTCAGGAGGAGAGGGCCATGATCATCTTCCTGGGCTGCAGCAGTGACTGAATAAGATGACGGACATGCTTACAGGCGAATGCCGGAAACAAAGCATGGAAATATCTCTAGTTTATGGTTCCTCTCTGAGTTTGACATCCTTCCCAGTGTGTGTTATCTGTGGACGTCCTCCAGCTGTTATCTTGCCTGGTTTGTGTTGGCTTTTTCCCTTCTTGTAACTGTTTGTGTGGGAGTTTTTTGTCTTCCGTCAAGAATATTCGGAGCTTGGAAGCTAAGTGAAGGAATAACAGGGCTTCACCTGTTTTCTGTGACTGCTTGTTTCTGGGTCATCACACCCTTCCCCAAAAAAGAAACCCCGGCTGATGGATTGGTTTCTTTCTTTGCTTATTTTTCATTCTTGGATGGAAACTCAGCAAGGAAAGAAGCTACCTAGAATTAAGGAAAAAAAACTTCCTAATAGGGAGAACAATTAACCAGTGGAACAACTTGCCACTTGAAGTTGTGGTTGCTCCAACAGCGGATGTTTTTAAGAAGAGACTGGACAGTCATTTGTCTGGAGTGATAGAGGGTCTCCTGCTGGGACTCGACTAGAAGACCTCCAAGGTCCCTTCCGACTCTATTCTGTTTGATCAGTCTTTCTGCCATGTTTGGTCTTTCAAGGTGCTTCAAAGCCTGGCAGAGTTTGGCCCAACGCAAACAGCACAGCCAGGCAGCCGTGACGCACCTGCGGGCCCGATCCTTGAGGGCGTCTTTCCGGCAGTGGGGCCTAATGGTTCAAGCCAGGAGGAACGCCAAGATGGCGGTGATTGAGCTGCTGGGGACCAAGCGGCTGAGCTCCCGCGGTACGTAACATAGCAAGAGTCGTGATCACAGCTTGGTGCTCCTTTTGTGGGGGGGACCAACTTTGCCCTTTCTTGGCCCCTCAAGCTCTTTGTCTCCAAATGCTCCAGGGCCCCGGAGGGACCCCGACAGAAGAACGTGGCCCCCAAAGTACGTCGGAAATACTTTGGATTCTCTTTTCCACCTGAGGGCGTTGCAGGAAGCATTCCTGGCTTGGGAGGCGAGATGCCGGGAAGCGCAACAGGCCGGGTAAGTGGCTGGTTTCCAACTTCCCAACGTACCCCCTTCTTCTGACCCAGCCTTAGCCAAACTAAGAATAGACTCCTTGTCTCAAAAAAAACCCTCTTTATTTACTTACTGGGAATTCATGACATTCACACACAGAAAAATCCCAGCAATAATCCTTCCAAGGGTTAATTGCCAGAACAGATCTTATTAGTCCTTGGATAATGGCCAGGCCGAGAGCTTTCCAGTCACAAAGCTGCAAATTAATTCCTGGCAAGGAGTCTCTGTGAGGCATGAACCACGATATGCAAATCTTCATAATAATAAGCAAACTAATTGTCTCCTACAACCACCACTCCCCTTTTGCCTCCATTTCCCAGGGAGGGGCCATTCAGCATCCATGTGTGCCGCTACTCCTGAGTCGGTCCCTGTTCCTTAACTGTTCCCTTCTCCTGACAGCTCTGCGCATACGCGCATCTGGAACAGGCTCCAGCTATTCTTCTTCCCCACTTATCTACGACTCTGAAGGCAGCTGGGAAATGTCGGACCGCCTCTGCTTCTGACGCAGAGCATCCATCAGAGCCTTTCCCAGACTCCAGGATTGGCCCAAGTTCCTCCCCAACCTCCTCATTGTCCGAGTCTGCTGCCAACTCCGCTGGCAATTGGCGGGCCACAACAGCTCTTCTTTCTTCTCTAAAAGGCGGGTTTCTAGTCCTCATGGATGCCTGCCATCTCTTTTTGTTCCCCAGGGCTTTCCGTCATGGTTTGACCCTGCGACAGCTGCGGGAGGCTCTTGGGCAATGGCACCGGAGGACCCTCAGTCTGAATCCTGTCGGGCTCATTGAGGGCTCTCTCCTTGCGTCGGCGGATTTGCAAGCGTCTTCCTCCTCCTCTGCCTTGACTACAGCCAGTCAGGTTTGTGTTGTGCGTTGTGTCCTTGGCAAGTTGCAGCGTCCCCTATGGTCTATGGACCAAGCCACGTTGCTTGTAACAATCTATCCCCAGGCCTAAATTTTGTAAATAAAAGAATAAAGTTATTTTTCAAGTGAACACACAATTTTGATTAGCCTTGTTAAGGTCGGCCAGGATTAAGGGTGTGTTCTTTCTTTGCTGGGGACAGGAGATCCAACTGGTAGAGCCCAGCCTCATCGGCCTAACTTACTTGGGGACTTTTGAAGAACCCAGCGGCCTTCCTGCTCCCGCCTCTCGCTGCCCGAACTGCAGTTTTGACCGTGAAAATCCTACCCATGTCGCTAATCGGGCCTCTCCTCTTCGGCTGAATTGGCAGGCAGCGTAAGTCCTCTGGTTTGCGACCCTGGAGTTTCCCATTGTAGAAAGTTAGCACAAAGTTAACCCTCTTAGAAGAATGAAATATTTTAGGAAACGCAGTTGAACCTCGGGTCACGAACACTTCTGTCCATGACCAAATTGGGTGCCGACCCAAAAAAATCCACAAAATTGTTCAACTCTGGTCACGAACAAATCTTTGGGTGGTGATCAAACACAGCCGCGGCAATTTTCCCTGCCACAGCGATTTCCCCTTCCGCACCATTTTTAAATAGTCCCCTGGAAGTCTGCCAGAGTCCTTCAGGATAAGTCTGATAAGCACGCACCTTTACCTTCCTTGAAATGCTGCCAATGACTAAATGTCCAATTAGTTATATAAGGCCAACTGGAACACAAATTCAACATGGAGCTTCAGGTTTCAAACCGACCAGTACGAAGAAAGTTGCTTCCTGCAAAGGTTCCTGTCCCTTTGCTCCTCCTTTATGTCCTATGGGAGGGCCAATCACCTCCAAGCCTTACTCTCAAGTCATCCCTTTTGTCTCAGCTGTTCTTGCCTTCTGGCAGCTCTGCACAAGCGCACACTGGGAACAGGCTCCCCCTGTTTCTCTGCCTCGCTGCTGTCAGATTCTGGAGGCTCCAGAGTCAGCACATAACTCCCAGATGGCCCTGGCCCCATCTCTGCATCGGACGCAGGACCCTCATCTGAGTCTTCCCCAAACTCCCGGACTGGCCCACGTTCCTCCCCACTGTCCGACTCTGCTGCCTTCTGCGCAGGCTGCTGGAGGTTCCACTGTATTCAAAAGGCAGACTATTATATTTTCCCTAAAGGAGAAACATGTTTTTAAAGACGGA